TAATATATATATCCGCCGAGAGCTGATCCCGAAGTCCTGGCGATCCCTCGGGACATCCCGAAGGGGAGGCTCGATGGCGCCCCGTGGGATTTGTCGCCCAATCAGGGGATGCCATGTCTTTGGGTTATCTCTTTTTATCTTGTCCGCGATTTCGCCTAGGAAGGGAGAAGTCGCGTTAAGGGGATGCGAAAGTGGCCTCCGAGGGGTCGATCGTTCGACAGATTTTCCTCCGAACCGATTCCACCGAATCTTTTCACCCTCTATAACGCGAATATGGAGACTATAAGGAAGGTCCAGGTACCCATGAAATTTCAATTATTTTTTTTTCTTTTTAATTCCTTTGCAGAAAAAAATTTTTTTTTTTTTCTTATCATTAGGGACCTTCCAGCCTTCACGTTCACGTTGGTGGTTGCGACCTTCACGATCGACGAATTATTTCTTTTGAATTTCTCCAGGATTATTCCAGTTTCCTCCGAGTAGGCGAAATCTGGGAATTCCCGAGATATACTCGTTATGAACGAATCGGGAATCCTGGAAAGCAGGAAAGCTCTTATCGCGATTGTTTCCTCTCGGCGTAACTCGAAGAGTGTCGAGCGATAAGCTTCGACCATTACCTCTGCTCCTGGGAAATAGCGCGTAATTGTCGAGGCATTCGGCTCGAAAGTTCCCGCTTGAGCTTTTAAAGCGACCCACGGGGCTATCGAGAGACAAAGGGAACCCCTTTCAGGGGTTACTGCGAGGAATACGCCGATCTTCGGTTCTTCGATCTCCTACGAGGACCGAATTCCCCTCGGGTCCTGAAGAGCGGCACCCTCTTCCGGGCACTCCACTTCCTTCCGCGGAACCCCGGTTATCTTCCGATGAAACTTCATCGCCTTACGTCCGGCTCCTTCAACTCCGGGCCCCGGAGGAGGGCAGATGGAAGATGGAAGATAGAAGATACAAGGGGCACCAGCTGCAGGGTCCAGGGTGGAGCCAGAACTCATACCCTACGTATTAGGGCGCCGACGAGTGCCCCTGGCGCTAAACTTCCTCGAGAGCAGCAGGCTGAGCCCCTGCGACATTGTCTCCTAAGTCTCCCCGAGGAGCCTCTTCCTCTTCCTCGCGTCGATTCCGTCGAGCCTCTTGGGGGACACTCGGAGGATTTCCCTCGAGGAGGCCTAAGGAAGGCGGGGACCTTGGCTTTCCGAATATAGGTCTACCTTGTAACACCTCCTCTTCTCGTCGATTTATCGTCTTATTCGATTTCCCCCACGTTCGTCGGACTTGTATCAATTTTTTATTCGCTTTTGTCGATCCGGGGTAATTTTTATTAATTTTTCTGGACTCGTATTGAAATTTATTATATATTATTTTTTTCAGGCCTTCGTAAGGTGTTTCCTTATTACTTCACCTTCACGACGTTCACGAAGGGACGATGGGTAGGCGAGAAGATCCTGGAGGTCTTCGCCAGGGAATTCCGCGCCCATCCTGCGGAGGAGTACGAGCGGTGCATCCGCGCCGGGACGCTCACCGTCAATTATCAACGCGTCGACGTCGATTACAGGCTACGTCACAACGACCTCCTGGCTAACGTCGTTCACAGGTAAGCCTGGGCTATGTTGAATCTCGATGCACCTCGTAGCTGCGGCGAGTCCTCGACGTTTTCTCCGCATTGAGGAACTCGAGCCTTAGGTGATAAGAACAAGGACGGCTGATAATAGCAGAATTATATAGAAATTTGGAGAGGGTCGCTGCGACTTAAGGCGGACCGAAACCCTCGAATCGATTCCAACTGGACACTTTTTTTTTTTTTAACGTCCACCGAATTGACTGAAATTTTAACACGTCATTCGCGAGGGTCTAAAACGCGTCTTGACCCTGTCAACATTTTTATTTTTGGACAATGTTCAAGATTATGAATTTTTTTTTGTTCGGTGGAATTAAATGTGGAAAATGGTAAAGTGCTCGTTTCGACTGGCGGGAACTTTAAAATGAGAATCGTGGGTATTCATGATGTGTCCTGAAACTGTCAAAATGTTAGTTTTCAGACAAAAATTCAGGGATAAGCATTTTTTTTTTTTCGGTGGAATTAAATGTGGAAAATGGTAAAGTGCTCGTTTCGACTGGCTGAAAGTTTAAAACGAGAATCCTGGGTATTCATGATGTGTCCTGAAACTGTCAAAATGTTAATTTACAGACAAAAATTCGTGGGTATTCATGATGTGTCTTGAAACTGTCAAAACGTTAATTTTCAGACAAAAATTCAGGGGTAAGCATTTTTTTTTTTTTTTTTGTGGAATTAAATGTGGAAAATGGTAAAGTGCTCATTTCAGCTGACTGAAACTTTAAAACGAGAATCGTGGGTATTCATGATGTGTCCTGAAACTGTCAAAATGTTAGTTTTCAGACAAAAATTCAGGGGTAAGAATTTTTTTTGTTCGGTGGAATTAAATGTAGGAATGGTGAAATATTCGACCGAGGGTTTTTGGGAGACTTATAGCGCATTAGTGGGAAGTTTCGCGACCACCTTCGAGCACCTCTCGAAGGTGGGAACCGTGTTACGAAACGAGAGAAATGGCCGTAGGGGGGAAAGGTAGCTGCACCGGGATTCAAAGGTTACGCGGTGCGCCGTGGAGTAGCCTTTAACGACCGGACGCTCGTCCTTGGCATTTATCCGCAGTCTTCGGAGATGAGACACGTCCATCCGAGGCGTCGGGTGACGTTCTCAGAGACTCTCGAGGACGATTCCGAAAAACCGCGTGAGATTTTCGGCAGGTCTTATCGACGACCCCAAGGCCATAGAATGGTCGCGATTACTCCTGGTCTTGTCGGGAGAGACCTTTTGCGCGGGTCGAGATTTACGATCCCTCGTTTAATGCCAACGAGGAGCCTTCCCGATGAAAAAGATAGCCTTGTCGATTTTGCCAAAACCTTGTCTTCGGAAATATCGAGACTCCCCGGGTGGACTCGATCGGCGAAAGGGTCCTTGGAAGAAGGGAAAAAATTAACCACGATGTAGCAAATGGGAATTTCTCCCCGTCGAGCTTCTTCATTTATTTTCCTTGAACCAGGAAAATGCATGTCTTAAGGTGAAGTGAAACACGTCGAGGAACTTGATCGACGTCGGTAAAGAAGATTTTTCTAAATGCCTACGTTGCCGACGTTCGTTTCTATATTGACAGCTGGGTCGAATTATATTGGGTATTGTACCAAATGGCATACTCCACCTGTCGTTTTCGTACAATAATTATCAAGAAATCGAAGTAAAACTCTAGAAATCCTCTGGATTCGTGCTTTCTGGGGCCCTAATTGGCTGCAGAGGGACCCCCTGCGCCATCTGTGATTTACAGGTCAATTAAATTTTCACTCCGGGACCTCGTATTACCATCGTTTTGGTATACAAGCGCATACAACACTTTTTTTGCCTTTATTCCGTTCAAATGCGAGTTTATCGATTACCAGAGTGTTCTAAATTCTCATAAAATTGTCCTGACCCTTTCGATTCTCATATCAGAGCCTTCGATAATTGTATTTCGATCGAAAGATGAGAGCTCGACGCCATTTTGGTTCTTGTCTGAGCTGAGTTAAAAAATGTTGTTAAAAAATAAAAATGTTCAATGTGTCAGGACAATTCTTAGACGATCAGGAGCGATGTGTCAAAGTTTCGGACAGTTTGGTCTTTTACCCTTAAAAAAAAGTGTTGTACTCGAATCGACTGATTTGAAGGGGGTTTCACTTCACCTTAACTCCAGGAATAATTGTTTCACTCAAATTAGCATAATTCCGAATAAACGTTGCGTCCTATTTATTCGAGTCGATTTCTTTGATATGGTTTAATTTAAATTCATTGCCTCGAGGAATGTTTTTTTTTTTATTTTTTTTCCCCCTTCCTCTCGGTGTTGGATGTGCAACGGTTCATCGGCAAAGGCGCCGCCTAATATTAGATGCCGGCGATTCTCGAGTGACCATTGTGACACGTTAACGCGCCCGTCGAGGCGCAGTTGCAGCTGCACCTCGAGGTGCCGACTCCTCGGCCTCCGCTCGGCGGCCGACAATGTGTGTGCACTTGGGAGCGCCGCATGCCGCTCGTGCCTAAAAACGTAACCGAGGCGTCTGTGCCAAATAAAGACGGCTTAAAATTTAGGGCTTACTTGGACGGACTCGATGATTTCTTATTTTAGCGGGACACAACCTTGACGGGCTCGCGTCTCGCGACCGGGGTTTTGCTGCAAGGGAAGAAGGGGAATAAATTCGATTTAATTATTTTTTTTTCCCCCATTTAACTCATATTCATCCAATTGTTTCGATTAAGTCATTTCCGATTGTCGATGGCGACTTATTGAAACAAAAGCTTCCCTGCAGGGGAAAAAGAGGAATAAATTCGATTTAATTATTTTCTTTCCCCAATTTAACTCATATTCATCCAATTGTTTCGATTAAATAATTTTCATCCAATTGTCGAGGAAGCTTCGACTCCGGTGCCGTCGATGGCGACTTATTGAAACAAAAGCTTCGCTGCAGGGGAAAAAGGGGAATAAATTCGATTTAATTATTTTCTTTCCCCCAATTTGACTCATATTCATCCAATTGTTTCGATTAAGTCATTTCCGATTGTCGATCGCGACTTATTGAAACAAAAGCTTCGCTGCAAGGGAAGAAGGGGAATAAATTCCATTTAATTATTTTCTTCCCCCCATTTAACTCATATTCATCCAATTGTTTCGATTAAATAATTTTCATCCAATTGTCGAGGAAGCTTCAACTCAGGTGCTGTCGATGGCGACTTATTGAAACAAAAGCTTCGCCGCAGGGTAAAAAGGGGAATAAATTCGATTTAATTATTTTCTTTCCCCCATTTAACTCATATTCATCCAATTGTTTCGATCGAATAATTTTCATCCAATTGTCAAGCTTCGACTCCGGTGCCGTCGATGGCGACTTATTGAAACAAAAGAGAGAATCAAGGGGAAGGAGAAAAGTGAAACTAGGACGGTAAATGTGGGTCGCCGAGATGCGGTGACCCCTTAATTTGCATCCTAGGACTTTTCGACGTTGAGACCCCGCACGGTCCATGAACACGTATGGAATCTCAAAGACATCTCGGCCGCGCTCCTCGACGAAAAATCCTCTTTTAACGTCGCGGATCAATTCTCCGAGCTGGCAGTCACGTTTGACCCGAGGCGACGTGCTCGAAAGAATAATATTTCCCGCGTTTCCGGGAATCATCCCGCAATAATGGAATCCGCCGGACGTCAGCGGTGGAACGCGAGAGAGAGAGGGGAAAAAAAAAAAGATGAGAGAGGAAACGTCACCCTCGCCGGGAAAAACCGACCAAATTTGACGCGTTCCATATTTATGGTCGCTTTGTTTAACGCGACGCTCTTTTTATTTTTTTATTTTTTTTTCTCGGTGCTCCATCCCGTGATATCTATCGCGATACCCGAAACGCCTGTTTATTTGACGCACATTTTTTTTTTCTACGATTCTACTCAGCAGTTTAGTCCGTTCTAGGGGGCAGGAAGGATGTCTCTATTTTTTTTCCTTCGTCCTATTTCGCGTAATAGAGACCAGTAGGGAGGATATCCGGAATTAAGGGACGCTCTGTATTTATGAACTATTTATTTGACGCCCATCTTTTGGACGATTTTATTCCGTAGGGTGTTTTAGGGGGAGTAGAGAAACATGGGGAACAGCAGAGGCGGCACTGCCCGGCAGTAGGAGTAGTTGCAGCTTATTTTAGCACCGGTAGTAACTTCCTCTCGAGATATACGGCCACTTGTACTTTCCTTTTATTTCCTCTTTTGATTGCCCGGACTCTCAAGATCTAACTCTGCGCTGATTAACTTTGTGTTTCTATTATAAACCCGAGGCTCCTCGGATCTTCGGCTGAGAAACGGCCTCGCCGACTTAGAGGCCCTCGTAAAACTCCACTTTTCTGGGGGGAGATCGATCGAGGAAGAGCCGCGAATCGCCTCACCTTGCGGCTCGTCTAGCCGTGTAAAATCGAACCGGAAGTGCGCCATTGAAATTTCAACGGAAGCCCGCCGTCTCTCGTCCGCTCCCCCTCTCTCTCTCGAAATTGCCCGGGAACTCGAGTCACGTCTCTTTGACGTGGTCCATTCTTCCTCGTTAAGGAAACGTTTACGTCCAATTCTTCGGGCCGATCTCTCTTGCGAACAAGTTCCCCGGTTCCGCCATTTTCATTCCCGAGATGGCGAAAAAATCCCCGATTTTCCCTCCTTTCTACGATTTTTCCTCCCTCCTACATTCTTCGCGTCATCGTCTTCCAAGACCCATTTCGAGATCCTCCGTCCTATTTTTTTTTTAGTTCTTCGACCCAAATGGGAGAGTTTGAGACGAAGGAAGATTTCCCGCGGAAGAAAATGTAATTTTCTCCTTTTTTACCATTTTTTTTCTTTTTTTTTTTCAATTCTTCCCACGACCATTTTTCCAAATTTATTTCAAGACTCTCTATTTTAGGTTCCATTTGTTAATTCTTCACCCCGAGGGAGGAAGTTTGAGACCGAGGACGATTTTTTTTTTTTCTTGCGTTTTTTCCGCGCGCCGAGATTTTTCCCACGACTTTTTGGCCGGCTTCGAGAT